TCCAGGTGGGTACAGACTAGTGATCTGGTCGCCTTACAAAACAATTCTCCAGGTGGGTACAGACTAGTGATCTGGTGGCCTTACAAAACAATTCTTCAGGTGGGCACAGACTAGTGATCTGGTCGCCTCACAAAACAATTCTCCAGGTGGGTACAGAAGTGAACGCTTGCTTTTTTTGTACTCTCTCTCTCTCTCTCCGAAAGCTCGAAACTTAAATAGATGTATTGTTGATTAATGATGTTAGAAAAACACGTAGATTCAATAAGTCTTGATATAAATGAATGAAAACCCTATAACCAGAGCACTTTCAAAAGGTGGACCTTTCTTCTTCAGGGGCAAACTGTGTTGTTGATTAAGATACATTTGACGGTTACTTCAGAAAGTTCAGCTTTAAAAACTTGGATCGTATATCACATGATCCAAAACCCCATACATTCATTCTGATTAGAAGTGTATTCATATTTAAATAGACTATTCGCCATAAGCTTATGAAAACGGTAAGAAAATGAAACCGTTCTACTTGGATGTCAAAAATAAATACTACAAGATTCTCATTTCAAATGTGTGTAAGAAGTTAGTGATAAACTTCACTTTATACTCAACCAACGGAAATAACTGATATAAGGAAAATGAATTCGTTTATAAATTAAATAATTTTTATTATTTCTAAATCAAAATATATTAGTTGTTTATTATGTGAAACAAGAGCAAAATTTGCCTGTTTTTTTTAATGATTGTACTTTAATGTTGTAATTTTGTAGTACATAGTTATGATACTATACTTAGATGATTGAGAAAGTAATATTTAAGCTTAACTAGATTATAAGTTCTATACTTAGGATTAATTGGATCGGAGAACCTAAATTTAGGCTTGGCAATATTAATCTATTTTAGTTACTTTTTCATCCCATCTGCTTGTAGCTGCTCCTTCCAGGAGGTTAGCTGTCAACGCTCGTTATGCCTGTCTGTCCTGTGTCTTTCTCACACAATCAATGTTCTGAACTGCAATCACTCCGTGACATCTGTGACCCATTTTCTCCGCGGTCGACTTCTCTTTCTACAGCCTTCCACCTTGACCTCTATCAAAATTCTTTGAATCTCATAATGTTCTCATAATGTGTCCAAAATAATGACACTTTCTTTTTTGGATGTCTGCTTTTAGTGTACGCTTTGTTTTGGCCATTTTCAATATTTCCTCGTTTGTTTAATACTCTGTACACAGCGTGGTCACAAGTAAATAGACACCACCTTTTCAGAAAAAAATGAAAATTTTCAGTCAT